AAGTCAAAAAAGGGCCATAATTCTGTCAAAAACCTTGACAGAGTTATGTACTCTTGTCTGTAGATGGAGGTTATGATGGTGAACAAGTATGGTAAGTTTCAAAGCCATACTTGTAATACTTCTGAAATAAAGTGGGGTGGTACGAAAAACTTAACCAAGGTGTGACGCCAACGCCGACGCCGACGCCGGGGCGAGTAGGATAGCTCCCCTTTTCATAGAAAAGTCGAGCTAAAAATGAAAATTTCTTCACTTTTTATCCCTTAAGCTAATCAGCATCATGTGCTTACAACTTTAATTTTCTATGAAACCTGATCTTTCTTTTTCTACACTAAAACTTTGACATCCACCTAATTCAAATTTGAGATAAACCAAAAAAAAAAAATCAAGAATATTTCTATACAGTAAGATAAAAGAAAAATTCAAGAATCAATAATGTTTAATGTTTTAGTACAAGCCTTAAGGGTAACAGAAAGAATTTAGCAAACTTGTGTTTTATGGAATATAAACAGGTTGATGTAGGAGTTCACTGCAGCATAGTTTTACCTCATTTCTATAAGTTAGTTCAGATAAAACTGTGTTCAATCTATTTACAAAATTACACTACACAAGATAAATAGAAAACTTATATTAATTAAAAGTTATACTAGATTAATTATAAATTTAACAACAGGTGCTCATCAAAGGATGCTGAGCTTCTTTTTTGTTCTTAAATTTGATTAATATAAAATCCTACTTTGTGCTAAAAACTTTTTAACTCCAAAATTTACGAAAATTGATCTGACCTGCTGAAATATAACTTTAATTTTTAGTCATTAAAGATTAAGAAGTTTATAGTTTATAGGTCAGATAAGGAAACATCTATAGGGAAGTTGTTAAAAACAATTAAGATGACCATCAAGTCCAACAGTGGCTTCTAATAGCCTACAATTTCATCATAATAGCTACATTGTGTCACATTAATCTAGATCAATAACGTTTTTAAATAGACTGAAAATAGACACAAAATTGATTGCAGTGTCACTCTATAGTTTAATGACACCCCTTTGTTGTACGGACATTTCCTATAGATTGAAATAATAGGTAGCTTGATTGAATTGATTGCAGAATACGAAACAGGCTCGTTTTTAACCTCAGAGATTTTTAAAAAAAAGGACATGTTTTACATGATGTTAGAATTACATAATATCAAAGTATATCAAAGTTATATGAAGATTATTCCAGTTAGTGACACAGCTCCTATGATATAAAGTAACAGGAAAGATGATATAACATAAACTGTTTATCTCAAATACTACAGAGTTCTCTCCCTTAAAATACATCAAATCTTAAAGCATTCCCTGAAAATCATGTTGTGTGGTAATATAGATGCCCGGAATTCCTTTTTTTCCTTCTTTCACTCTGATATATAATTATCTTATTTGCTGTATCAAAGTCAAAATCTAAACTTGCCAAATTGTTTAGCTGCCAAGCTAATGCTACAAATTTGTCAGTCTTGTATTACACATTAAATTTTGGCAATTATGTCAAGGTAGAAACTGCGCAGTTTTAGTTAGTTTAATTATAATATCATTGTCTTATCTAAATCAAATATAGTTACTTATCTTCAACCTACTGTGTCTTATAATCATTTTTACAAAACAATTTAACATGACACAATTCTTTTAAGTGAAAAATTGAATATTGTGATAGTAAATAAATAAGAAGTAGTACACAGACACAGAACCCCCCCCCCCCCCCCCCCCCTTTTTAAGAAAATGGCAAACAACTATTATATATATATCAAAACGTGAAACACACTATACTTTGAAGTAACAGGGTTACAATTTCAACTAATTATTATCTAACTTAGCCTAACAGACATCCTGTAAGTGTAAACACACAAATAACCCTTGAATTTAGTATTGTGAAAAATATCAAAAATGTAAAACTGTATTAAATATACTTCCATCTACACTTTATTCAAGCTAAATGTCTTCAGCTTTTTTTCTGCTCACTTCAAATGATACCAGAAGAATAAAATTAACAACCCCCTGATAATACGGAGTGACAGAAACAAGAAAATATTATTACTAATTTATAATTCATCTCAAATCAACAGCAAAATTGTGACGAAGAGCAATGTAGCCTGTCAATATTTCCATTTTATTGCAAACTTATGAATATTTGATAAATGTCAAATAGAAGTCATAGCTATAGAAGACAAACTGATCTTTTAAAAATGTCACATGACATTTGTATGATATATTTTTTAGGGCTGTGTAGTGTTATCTAATACTGGTGGTAGGGTATACTTGAAACTATTGGCAAAATTATGAATTAAATAAATTATCAAAATATTGAATCAAGTTAAAAACAACTATTTCAACAGTTTTGGAATTGTCTGCAAAAATATACATTTACATCACTCCTACCTATTTTTTTTAACTATGTTAATCATTTTTGGTTGTTATATTTCTTTTGTTATCAACCTATTAATTACATTACAAATAATAAATAATTAACAACATTTCCTTATCGTCCCTCAAATGCATTGATCTATAGGAATCTCTTTCTATCAGTGAGTTACTTCCCTTACACCAGTGAAAAACCACTTTACTTTCTTTATTATACATCTTTATTATGCATCTTCTTGTCACAATTCTGATGAACGTAATATATATTTTGATATAAAATTTACACAGCTTTAAACAAATACATTTGAGTCACCTTGACTAACACCTGATATAATCTACTCTACATATTAAATATTTCCTTTATCTTGTATCAAATTACAAAGACCTACAAAGACCTGTTAAAGTTACACGACAATACACACCTATCTAAATGCAATCATTGACTTATTAACTTATCTCCGACCTAATTATACATATCAAAACACACTTCTCAAATGATAATATTGGCATAAGACAATTTAAATGCAACCAAACCATGTTCAGATCTATTTTTTTTCTTATCAAATGCAGACTTTTTACCTCAGAAATTGTGCCAATTACGTCACTAAATATATCTCTTTTTAATTTAACACGCTATGGAATCAGGCCACTCTTAAAAAATTATCTGTTTGCTATTGCCGGCCGACCCAGCGAAAATGACCCGACTCAAAGGTTTTTTTCAGCTTAAAAAAATCAGATTTTTTTTTTATTTCCGCCAAATCAGCCAGGGCATTCCACCTAAAAAAATCCCTCGAAAACAAAAATAAAATCGAAGGAAAATCAAACATTTAATATGTAAAGTAACAGTGATCATTCATGAGGGCATTCTGTGCATTACTATTTAAAGTATTTATATAAATAGCAACCAACCAGGGAAGGATATTTCCCTTACGTCACGCAGTACTGCATGCGCGCGGCAATTAAGTCGAATTAACTAACAATAGAACGTATCAAATTAAGGTGTGGAAACGGGATTAAAAATAATGTTTGTTCAGTTAATGAATATTTGTAAAGCATTTATATGGTCACTAGTTTACCATGTGGTAATTTTAATGTGCTTTGGAGTACATGTTCAATTGTTTATGACTGCCGACACAGATTAAATACTTAGCCCATGCAATAAAACATTTCTGGTAGCAGCGGGGATTCTGTCATAAAATTTACCGAAAAAATAATTTTTTGGAAGCTGTGGTCATTTCATATGCATTATTGTTTTGATAGCAGACACAAGTATTGCAAAATATCTTCAAGATCATAAAAATGTAAATAAAATATCACAATCAAAATCACAGATTTACTTACGTCTAATTAAACTCCATGTCAAAATGCACTTACGATTAATAATATGAAAAAAAGAAATGACAGTTTTTTTTCTGATATATAAAAAAGAGGTGGAAGTCAATTGAGTGTCGGCATTTCTTTGATGATTCGGCAACAACTACAGGTGTGTAAACATCAAAGATTCACAGATTCTTCAGAAGAGCCGACCAGTCATTTGTCAGAGGTCATTTCGTGTGTAAATTTTGTATTTATATTTAACAATGGAAACATTATATTCCTTTTATTTATGGATGCTACTTTTTGCGCGAGTGTTTTTGGGTCTTTTAGCGCTGTGGAATTTCAACAATCTGCGATAATTTTCGGTAACTAACAATGAAATATTTTAACGATCCACCATTCAGAAATTATAGGAGACAAATCTTGCGTGTGTTATTTTTTACAGACGTGTAATAAATTGAGTAATGATCATGCATCCGTGAGAACGAAATGTCCTGGTGATCCACTATAATTTTTCCAGTTCGTACGGGAATTTTACGCAGGATTAGTTTATCACATCGGTAATTTGACCATGCTTGAATTTATGTCTACATAGTCATTTTTTTATTTCATGTTATGATTACTAGTGAACATGCTTTTTTATTGTTTTTCACTGTCTTTTACAGGTTAGTTTTGCCGATGATGATAGTGTAGCCCAAATTTCCACAATCTGTTACAACGTACTAAGCGTATTAACTTACGTTCAGTAAAAATTATATATTTTAAAAAAAAAAGCCTACCTACCGACCCACTCCTTATAACTCTGGGTCGGCAATAGCAAACATATATATTATTAAGGATGGCCTCATGCATGTTTTAATATCAATATCATTTCAACATTTACTATCTATAGATCAAAGTAACTAGTACAATTAAGAATGAAGTAATTAAAGTTTAATCAGTAATATAATTCCCATTGACTAACAGATCTACCTGTAAGATGACCATTTTAAAGTCACTAAGTCAACATGATCCAGTTAAATATCTAGCAACCAAGCTAATTATGTAATATATCCTTAAATTTACATGATTAAGATAAAAATTAAATTTGAATGGATATACAAATGAATTTTTGCAATAAGAGGTTAAATTGTGTTGCATATTGGGAGGACTTCATTTTACTGTATTATATTAAAATTTCACATGTAGAAACATTACCTATATAATTCACTTGAGCACTACAACTGTGGACTATACATGCATTTACAAATATTCATGTGTGGATAAGAAAGAATAATCTTGGTAACTTACTATTCTTGCTATAAATAAAGTCTTGTAAGGATCTGTAGATGCATTCTGTGAATGTGGGTCCCCTATTGAAGAGGGAAAAGAAGGTAAATAGCATTGTTTCAAATAAATATACGCATTCTCTTAATAAAAAAAGTTTTACTTTTTTAACAATTAAAACATTTTCATCAAGAAAACAAGAGTCGCTGCAATACATGAACATTTTTCTACTATAAAATGCATCTTTCTTTTTTTTTTAAATGTGAATGTGGGTCCCCTAGTGAAGAGGGAAAAGAAGGTAAATAGAATTGTTTCAAATGACTAAAGGCATTCAAAAGTTGTGTTTTATTTAAATAAGTTCAAGAATGATCTTAAAAAAAATATTTAAAAAAGATGCATTTATAGCAGAAAAATTTTCCTATATTACACCAATTTTTGTTCTCATTTTGTTTTCTAATCTTGTATGATTATCACCAACTCATTGTACATGTATACCATATTCTTGTCTTACTTTGCCATTTATACACATCTTGATGGCTGAACAGCATAAAAGGTTGTTACTTAACTATTTTCATCAAGTTTCAACAATTTTGCTCATAATTTTTATTAATTAACTCCATGACCTTTTCACACTATGTAAACGCTTTAAATTTTCATGTATTCTACAAATAAATGAAACATAATAATTATATCTATTGTCAGCTCTATTTGTTACAAAGGATTCAATATCAGAAATGTGTTCTAATTTTTACCATTAATCTAAAATAAAAGTTCTTATAATTATACAGAATACAAGCAATATGAAATTTTCAAGATTCTGAGGTTATTTGGTAAAATCACCGGGCAAAACTATCTCTAGTATATGCAGTGCAGAATCATTGACGCAACTAAATACTGAAAGATCTAACATCTTTTGATGAACTATTTCTAGCAGAAATGATTTAATAGAGAAGTTTTAAGATAAAATTTGTTTTATTCCAAATTTTATTGCTGACTGACCTTTCTTTTCTGCTGAATAAAAAGCAGATTAATCTGTACAATGAATATACCATGCTATAAATTTGGGACATTTCATAGGCTGACATGACTTTATACTTGTTAGTAAAAAAGATGTTCAAGTTTTGAAGCATATTATTTTATTTATATATACTTACTGACTGTTGATAACATATTACTACTTACATAAAGCTAAATCTTGTTCTAATTTGTACGCAATTTGTTCGGCTCTTTCCTTCCTCTGAAAAAGAAAACAGATAATTTGATATAAATTTGGTCAATCACAGTAACTCACCAAAAAGTATTTTAATAAAGTACAATGGCATGTAACTTTGAATATTGTGAAAATAAATTTATTCTTTTTTTTAAATTTAATTGTATGACATGTGAAGCAGTAAAATAATAAAAACTTTTGCTTCAAAATATTTACAGTATAATTTGTTGGTGTTGTGTGTGTTTGTGTGTGTGCATATTTTTTCCTCCTTTTCTATGATTTTTCATTCACAAACAGTAATATTTTAATGGTCTACTGAAACAAGACCTATTCTAGTCAGAAAGCTCCACTTTTCTCAGTGCTGAATAGTGAAGTTCAAGTGAATGTATAATAATATCAGGAACACTTTGACGTTATTCTAAAATGGGTATAGTACTTAAGACCCATCAAGGTACATCTACATTGTACATACAAAGTTTTTAGTTATCAGGTCAATGCACATTGATTTAATGACCAATTTTACAATGTATATTCTGCTATTATTACAAGTACCAGTTACCTTGACCTTTAGACCTGAAAGTGGGTCAAAAAAGAGAAACTCATCAAGATGTATCCATAAATAAAATTCAATAAAATGGCATTGAAAGCAGCGCAATACTATAGCTCCTTTATTTCTTCCAAAAGTGGAGCTAATAAAATACTGACCTGGAACTATTTTTTTTTTGTACACAATAAGGGACAATTTGGTATTATCGTAGTGACAATTAATGTGCACTCATTTGTATATAATATGTAACAAGAGATATGTTTTATTGCAATCATAAATCAAACTTTAATAGAAATGTTAATATTTCTATTGAAAAATTGTCCTTCAATTAATAGTCAATTTCTTCAATTAATAGTCAACTTGTCTGCCAACAAGACCTACATATTATCTTCAATAGACACTTCAATAATATCAGTCACAGATCTTTAACCAAAAAACTTACCCCACTAAACATTTGTCAAAAATTTTGATTACATAACTGTTTATAGCAAATGACCGTTAATAATTGTTTTAGAAAAAAAAACAATAAATAAAAATCTGAGATAAGATAATAAAATAAGATAAAGATAAGTCAAATTAATACAATGTTACACATGATAACAAACTAAAAATGTGTTTTATGTTTTATCAAATATTCTAATAAAGACCATGCATAAATGGTTAAAGACATGGAGGTTTTAATAATATAGACAACAATTTAATGTTCACTAACAGGAATTTATAATACCCATGTTGATAGCAGGTATCTTATACATTTTTTTTATTTTTTTGGTCTTATAATAAATGCATGAATATAAGTAAAGTTGGTTTCACTTTGGTTTATCAACATTTACATGCTTCTTCTTTATAAAAAAGACAAAAATAGTGTACAAATGCCTACAAATATGTCAAAAGTTGACTGTAATTTAACAAAGGCTATCTCATTATATCTACTTCTACTATTTAATATTTCATTCTAAGTATAAATAAAAAAAAATCTACAATGAAAATAGGTGAAATTGAAAAAGGGTTAAATTTAGAAATATTATTTTTGTACATTCACAAAGGCTCAATGTTAGCAATTAAAATCTATTCATTCACAAAGAAGTTGTTTATATTAATCATCTACCCAGCATATATATCTATAAAAGCTATTAAAAAGTTTTTTGACTTCCACATTTGACACAGTGGTTCAGCGTCATATTTCATTATGAAGCCTTGTTCAGACATGTTCCTACTCAACAAAACACTAAATGAGGCCAGGGCAATTTATAAAGTCATTGACAAACAGGGCATATAAAATAACTATAAACCAAATTTCAATGTGAAAGATTGGGTATCATTTCTTCAGGTATTTATACTTCTTTTGATATTCATAAGCTTTTCAAAGGATATGCGTAATTTCTTGTTCATTATTAAAAGAAAGTGTAATATTTTATTACGATGGTTCTACAGAAGATTTTCAGAAGTTTTTTTTAGTTAAACAAGTAATTGGTATGAGGCACTTGTATGTATTAGAACAGATTTGGAAGTAACAAACTGAATATAAAAAATATGGATTATAATAATGCTATTAAGGTAGTATCCTGTCACTACTTTCATTTTACAATCATATACAACATGCTTATTGCTAGTGAAGTCATGTTTCACATACTCTAAATTTACTTTATACTGTTTGTTTCTAATTTCTATACATATGAGGAAAGCCTTTATTCATTCAAACATGTATTTATTCACAAAGTATCAAGTATTAAAATACTTATTACTTTTTTTCCAGTCATTGCACATTTTTAATTTCTCATTATAGCACTTTCAGCCAACAGAGGTTTTTAAGTGGTCAATGTTATATCATTTTCAAATTTCTTACAAAATATGACTTCAATATAAGCACTTTCAAGAATATACATTATCATTTTATACCTTCCTTTCTTTCCTCTCTTCTTTTGTTTCCACTCTAGTTGGTGGAGGAGTATCTTTAGGGTCCTGTTAACAATATAAAAGATCAAATTAAAATGTGCTTAAACAATTACTTCTTCCTTGCATATTACTACAATAAATTCTTTTTTTACAGGTAAAAATAAGCTAATCTGTTAACTGTTTTCTCTTAGATGTACAGTAAAATCTCTAAAATTTAGTGTTTAAAAAGGCGCTAAAATGACCATACAACAAAATAACAGAATCACTTTCTTAGCTACAACTGCATGTAACTTGTGTTCACTGGAGACGCTGAAATAAAGCCAAAAATCAATAGACAAGCCAATTTTCACAAGTTCTGTCTAATGTTAAAATGAACAAATGTCTGTCAAGAGCTTCTCCATCCAACCTTTCCCCTGTTACTTTTTACAATACACTGATCAATACCACTAAAATAAATCTGGCTGATTGGTTTTTCACTTTAGCATTGAATGGAAATTCCTTCAGCTTCAGGTAATCACAACTTAAACTGTTCCTCCATGAGAGAGTTTCATCAATGGTTGTCAGATTTATTGAAATTGAGATCAATAGCGCTTCCTACAACATCCATCTCGGCTTAAACAGATACAGATTGTATAAAATCAAGAAACATTTAACTTAACAAAATATGGATTTTTTACTCAAATTACTGCCAGGCTGATACATTTTAAAATGTATATTTAATAACTTATTTCAGCCTAAAGATTTAGATGCCAGTGAATCCCACCGTCTTGAACGAATTCAAGCAGCAAAACGAATTAGACGGAGTAAATCTGCACCAAGCAATGCTCGGTCCGGATCAGTGACAGCGAGCCAACATACAGAAGAGGAGACCACCTCAACATGCCTTCCAAACATCTTCAAAATGCAACAGAAGTCGGATAAACATAAAGACAAAGAGAAAGAAGAACAATGTGCTGACATTCCATCCCCAGTGTCGGATCCACCTCCTTATGAATCTGTACGCCATGACCACAATGAAAATGCTCATGGTGGCATAACTCCATATAAGAACTATCAGGATGATGGAAATGAACTCAGGGATGAATCTACAGCACCACTACTTGGAAATTGTGAACAGCCACAGAGGTAAGAGCATGTTTTTTCATGTAAGTTTACATTATTGAATACATAACTTCAACTGTAGTCGTTATAGAACATGTTTTCAAAGAAATACAAAATGTGTATAAATGATTATTATTAGATTTATTAAATATCAATTCTTGACAATAAAATATGTTCAATTAATTTAGTATTATCATTAAAACATGAATATATGATAATGTACGGCATGGTTATATTAATAATAGTCATAAAAAAGATAATGTTATTGGTTAAAGTTCTTTATTTTACAATTCTCTAAGAACACTAAGTTTTACTAGCAAAATCAGGAATATATTAAGACACTATGCTGGTGCTCTGAACTCTGCTTCAACATACACTGGATTATTGATTTCAAGCTGGATCAGATATTATTATCAGCCTCTAGCAACCGTTCTTAGCGGTGGTAGCTACATTTCTATTACAAGTAGAAATGAATTGTCTTAGTAACAGTAATGAACATTTTGTTGGTAATTTGATGTTTCTAATATTAATTTAGATTACTACTATCAATAATGGATAATGCATGCTATTGGCTTGAAGTTCACATTATGCTAACATAACAAGCTGCGTGTGAATAATTTATGGGAATGTATAGAAAACTGGACTGCCTGAAATCCAATGTTACTAAACCGTGGTTCAATTTTGGAATTAACAAGTGAATAATGTTAAATTAAATGGCATTTTATTACTATAACAAACCAGGATTATTAGGTTGTAAGTAAGGTCAAACGAGCCAATACATTCGATATGTATGTGCTCACAGACGTTTCTCTAAAGCTACACACATCACGATGGCTACCCTAGTTTCCGCCATATTGGAAACGCTGTAAGTGTAGTTTTGTTTTCAATACATTCATTATTTACAGTACTGTCATTTAAAATCCTTTGTTTGTATAAAATCAAATATGTAAATGAAAATTATTACTTACCTCGAATTCCTTTAAAAATATAGCAACTCCACCATAACTGTTTCTTTTTTTCTCGTGACCGAGTTTGTCGGCAGGCGGGAGGTATGGAATCGGGTCCCTGGCAGCAAAAAGTGCCAGTAAATTTGGAGGCAAAAATGCCGTCATTATAGCCCTACTAGCTAACTACACTTCTGTAAATGTAATGCACTGATGAATAACGTTCTCGGTGAGTTTATCGACGTTTTCCTGTTGGCTTTACTTCTCTGTATACAATCGATTACACGCTGAACCTTGTACCTGAAAATAGCAATACTGCTTTACACACTCCTATTCAATTCAATGCGTAATTATTTGACGTATACCTACAACTGTGGTAGAATTTGCGTGCCGCGGTTAAGTTTTCTTTGTTTACAAATTATTAATAATTATCAATTCAATATAAAAATATTTTTATTTTCATTTTAAATATAACTTTGATAAATTTAGATTTTAATTTTATTGGAAATTTATTTTATTTGATTAGGTTTCTTTTTTAAACTATTTTCAAAAACTGGATCTGATTGGCTAACACATTTTAATCCAAATGTGTAAACGCTTGTTGACAACAACACGCTGATCTGTCAAAATGTTGCAAGAGGGATTGAATGCATGTTGACGTCCGCTAAATTTGCTCTGAAAAATGGCGTTAATTTGCAATATAATTAATACGCGTGTGTCATGTATGTTATTGAAATGAGATTGCATCTATTGAAGTAAACAACGAAAATGTTGCGGCATTAAGCAGTGAAAAAAATCGAAATTATTATCGCATTTTGGTTCATCTGAATTCATTAGCGTGGAATTATCGTATGCTACCTTTAGTTAATAGGAGGCATAAGAGCTATTGTTAGTTCATCAATATAAATGAGCGCAAATAGTGAACGGCTGTAGTGTTAACGCTTTTTGCTCAATTAATGACGTCAGCAATTCGATCGACAACCGACTTTGTTGCTTCAGCATAACGAGTTAGTGTGTGTGAATGATTGTGTATTATCATGCTGTTAGTTGGTAAAAGTCAAAGGCTGTAGCGAGTACATTTTATGGATGCTATTTATTTGTTGCTTGCTAGCATGCAGGATTGGGTTCTAAAATTGTGTGAGGAACTGTCTTGTAGATAAAAATGCATGGATTGGCTAATGTAGATTTTATTATTTTAAGCAGTGTTAAAGTCACTTGACCAAAATTGGTTTTATTTATTGGAATAAATAATGAAGCTCAGGAAAACGTCTTAAACTCATATTTTATTTAGCTTGTGGAGTTGAGTCATTAAAATGCATGTAATGTTTTTATAAGCTATATTGCTGTGCTTAATAAATCAGCATGGAGGTTGCTATGATGTGTAGTGAGGGGCAGCAGGGGAATGGTGGTATAACTTCCACTTATATTCCAATGAATCAACGCCCTCATCGTTCTAACCTTCAAAATTCCAGGTCTTTTCCAAAACTTACTGAAGATGATCATATACATCCAAATGATGGGATGGGCCAGCAATGTATGGATTATGAAGCATGTGAGCGAGTGGTGATCAATGTGAGTGGACTTCGGTTTGAAACCCAGTTGAAAACTTTAAATCAATTTCCTGAAACTTTATTAGGATGCCCATCGAAACGAAACAGATTTTATGATCCCTTGCGGAATGAATACTTTTTTGATCGAAACAGACCATGTTTCGATGCAATTTTATACTACTACCAGAGTGGTGGCCGTTTGAGGAGGCCTGTTAATGTGCCTCTTGATGTCTTTGCTGAGGAAATTAAATTCTATGAATTAGGACAAGCTGCTATTGAAAAATATCGCGAAGATGAAGGATTTATCAAAGAAGAAGAAAAACCACTTCCACAAAATGAATTTCAAAGAAGGGTATGGTTACTGTTTGAATACCCCGAAAGCTCAACTGCCGCAAGGATCATTGCCATTTTCTCAGTGCTAATTATTTTACTTTCCATTGTGATATTCTGCTTGGAAACTTTGCCTGAATTCAAGCATTACAGAGTTACGAATGAGACAATAAATGGCACAGGTTCAATTGAAGAAGATGATATTCCTAAATTCAATGAGCCATTCTTTATTATAGAAACCTGTTGTATAATATGGTTTACTTCAGAACTTCTTGTTCGGTATGCATCATGCCCTGGAAAACTTGGATTCTTTAAAAATATTATGAATGTTATAGATATTGTTGCAATCATTCCATATTTCATCACATTGGGGACAGTCATTGCAGATGAAAGCAAAAGTAACAACCAGGCAATGTCCCTGGCTATCCTAAGGGTGATAAGATTGGTCCGTGTCTTTCGAATTTTCAAGTTATCAAGACACTCTAAAGGACTGCAGATCCTTGGGCAGACTCTTAAAGCCAGTATGCGAGAACTCGGATTGCTCATATTTTTCCTATTTATTGGAGTTATATTGTTTTCTAGTGCAGTTTATTTTGCTGAAGCAGATGCAGAAGCATCACATTTCAAAAGTATACCGGATGCATTTTGGTGGGCTGTGGTAACTATGACAACTGTGGGTTATGGGGATATGCGTCCGATCGGAGTGTGGGGAAAGTTAGTCGGATCACTGTGTGCCATTGCCGGTGTATTGACAATCGCGTTGCCTGTGCCTGTTATAGTTTCCAACTTCAATTACTTTTACCATCGAGAAACAGAGTACGATGACAGACAATCATACCAACATGTACAGTCTTGTCCAGATTATCCAAAAAAGAAGGATTCGCTCATTTCGGGGGATAGTGGTTCTGATGTATTAGAAATGGGTGAGGGTGGAAGTTTATATAATATCATGGAAAAATCTAATGAAAATCACACTAACAAAAATAATAATCCATCTAGTGTAAACAATTTGAGCATTGAAACGGATGTATAATGTATAATTTGAAATTGGAACTAATTCACCCTTCAAAAACTTTTGATTCACCACATCAGAAGGAGCATTTTTATCAAAGTAAGAAAGTTCCCATATGATAGCATGGAAAATCAGAGGCTATTTGTTAAGAATTTTTGTAGAACTGGAGATACAGGCAAGCTTATTGTGAAAAAAATGTTTACTCTATAGAAAGATGAAAAAAGAACAAGAAAGAATGTAGATCTGAACTCAGGAAATTCAGGAAATGTGGATAAAGATAGAGGAAATAGACAGAATGAGAGTAAATTGCCAGTTTGAATATCAATAGTAAAAGTTATTATAAAATACTAGGAGAAATGACATGAGAACATTACATGTATAGTGGATCAAGAGATAAGAATTTTTAACAAATGTTACATTTTGTGTGTGTGTTCTTTTTCCATTTCTGAAAGGTTACCTGCTGTGATACGTTTATATGTATATAGTAGTGATGTACAGTTATTGACTACAAGTTGGCGACAGTTTTTTTTTTACATTTTTCCAAATCCATGTCTTTCTTGAGAAATCCTCACCCAAGTTATGGACTTTTTATACATGGCACAGAGAATTGTAAACTCTCACATAGGGGATAGCACGCTACAGTTACTTTGTATCTGTTTTGTGGAATTAAATGTTGTAGAAGTTTATCTTAGGATGACGCAATATGTATATATTTAAAGTGTTATCTCGGCTGAACCGATACTCTTGGTCGAATTTTCAACAATAGCTTTCTACCTCAGAATTTGAAAGTAGCCACCTTTTTAAATACACCCTGGAGCATCAGTTTGAAATAGCTGCAAATACTAGGAAAGAAAGAAAGAATGGAATAAATTGTGGTACATGTAAAATTAAACTTACGTGATACATCATTATATATGATTATAAAGCAATTTTAATGACTTCTTTTTGAAATCACCTTGTTTTTTTTTCCGAGCATCATATATGTACAGATCACTTTTAACACTATGCAGTTTATTAAAAACTATATAACAATGCACCATGTACCACGTTTTTCACTATGTTGGATTTAAATTACGGGAAATAAATGAGGCTGTCTGTTAGACAAGTGGAATATTACAAAACTATTTAAACAAAAAGCTGATACACTCTTACACACCAAGGAAGAATAAATGACTTTCACAGACAGGAGAGAAAAATTCTGATATTTCAACAATTCCATCTCTACACAGAAATTTCTCCACATGGTAGCAAAAATATGGTGAGTAGATATTCTTGAATTTATTGTTATATCCTCAATTATACATGTATAGTAAAATAATCTATAACTTCCAAACTTTTTGAAAATTAATTTTGTTGTTCTTATAATGTCTCTTTTAAAAGATCTACATTATCTCTTTTTCTTTTAAAAGATCTACATTATCCCTTTTATAAGATCTACATTATCTCTTTTATAAAATGTACATTATCTCTTTTATAAGATGTACATTATCTCTTTTAAAAGATCTACATTATCTCGTTCATAAGATGTACATTATCTCTTTTACAAGATGTACATTATCTCTTAAAAGATGTACATTATCTCTTTTAAAAGATCTACATTATCTTTTTTATAAGATGTACATTATCTCTTAAAAGATGTACATTATCTCTTTAAAAGATCTACATTATCTCTTTTATAAGATGTACATTATATCTTAAAAGATCTACATTATCTCTTTTATAAGATGTACATTATCTATTTTAAAAGATCTACATTATCTCTATAAGATGTACATAATATGAACATTATCTCTTTTAAAAGATCTACATTATCTCTTTTAAAAGATCTACATTATCTCTTTTAAAAGATTTAAAATCTGTTACAGTTTACACAAACACTAAGAAAGCATAGGCTTCTTATTTTGGCCAATAAATAATTTGTGTGATAATTCTATCAAGTGGCATTTTCATAATAAAATAATAATACATAGTAATAATAATATAAAAAAAAAACTCTTTTAGAATATTTGTACATTTGATTAAAGTTACATGTATCATCATGTAATACAGTACGTTGTTAATCAAATGCTAATCTGGATTAAGAGAGATTATCAATACAATTTGTATATGGGTGTTTGTAACATGCTTTATACTACCATTAGCAAACTAATCTGGCATTATTTCAAATCCTAAGAATTATATTACAACAATCCAATTTTATGATTGTTACCCCCATTTTTTTCTTAGTTTATAAAGGAAAATGGTGCATGAATAGACATTAACCTTCCTTACATCAAGTACTTATGGTCAGTTAGAGAAGATTTTTTGTTAAAATGTAGATTTCTTTGGTATTTCAACTTCTCATCCATCATTAATAATTTGTATCTAGATAAAAAAAAAATTAATATTTTAAAGCAGTATGAAATTTTTAAAAATATATGAGGGTAAAATATTGATAACTGTCAATTGAACAATGAAAGTAATTCACAGTCACACATTGTAAACAACACTTAAAATCTACGAACATTACCAATTTGAAAGAATTGATCAGAATGTGCAAGAACAGCCCTTACTATGTTAGTCATGCAGTAGAAATATGGTGATAAATACTTCAAAACCAGTCATTAATTGCATATAACATGAAAATTATTTCCTGTAATGTGTGGTAATCTGAATATTCTTACATTCTTAGAATATTAGTACATTTTTATACAAAGTTGATTTTCTTGAAATATGTTGGCTCATCTGGAGGTATGCAGCTTTAAGAATTCTTCCTTGGTCTGACAATTTACTCCTTATAACTTTTAAGTTAACATTGCTTTTTAACTTTTTTAATGTCTGAATTGTAAATTTGTAATATTATCATTATATTATCAAAATATGTCCATAAAGGTAGATAATATAATGAGAAAAATAGAGTAATAATTAGATTTCCCATAGACTGGGAAAAATGAAAAGAAATAGAAATAATGAATGATATGGTTTGAGATATTAAAAAATTTTAATCTCTGGGAATGTAATATTCATGTTAAGTTTAAATAAAATGTGATTATTTTGGATCATTTTGATATTTATTAAGATAACAGCCCTCCCCCTTCACCCTCCTACCCCAGCCCTGCCCATAATAAAAATAATATTTGTTATAAATCACTAAAATGAACAAAGCATGAGGTAATTTTATCATAAACTTATAATTGTATTATTTCTACATGTACAATTAGAATTAATGTGATGTCAGTTTGATTTTAAGAGTAAATTTTCCACAAACTTCATATTTCATGATATTTGATTCTAAAAACATGAATATTTTACATACAACTGATGTAAACTAAACATTTTTTATCCTGTATAATGATAGTAACAAGATAATGTGCATTAAAACCACAGTTAAAGTAATCAATATTTGTTAAATGAATGGTTACATTTTAAACATTTGGCACAAACATTACTGTGCATGTATAGAATGGATTGTTTCAGACAATAAAAATATGTTAACAAGAATATTAATTCACATCTTACCTTTGGATCAAATCTGTGTAATTGGGAAGTTTTCCAGCAAGATTTAGCTCCCAATGTTAAAAAGATCTATATCATTCTTTTGATTGCAATCTTAAAATTGTTAATGCAGAATTGATTTAAAGATATCTTTATAGTGCATTTTTATGGTAGATGCATGCATATTGAAAATTATGAAAAAAAATTAAGATCCTGTAAAGTTTGTTGTTTACAGGTATGGAAAATGTTGTGATTATATTTTAGTCTATTTGTGAATGTTTTGTCATTAAAATTGTAGCATAATCATTTATCTATAGATATAAAAGTGGTTCATTTGACTTAATAGGTTACAATCACAATAGCAGCTAAGACTATCTCAAGACCTATTCATGGAGAAGTAGTCAGGATTGCAGACTTAGAATAAACTTACCCTCGACACTATGGGTTTGAGTCTCAGAAAGCAATATATATATTGGTACTAGAAGGACATGGCTTTACATTTGTATCCACATGTGTCAAAATAATGCCAGGAGAGGCACCTGATGTCTTCTTTTACTAGTTAAGCATTGTCTTAATTTCTTAATAAGGTCCTGTACTGAAAAGCTCCTGCATTATAAGTCATACTATTAAAGCTTCTGCATAGTGATACCATTTGTTTAAATCCTGACTAGAAAGGTTTCTGTATTGCTCTATGTTTTACATATAGCTCTTAACACAGACTTATAAATAGAAAATCTTTCCTACAGACTTTTATTATAAAACCAGTAATTAAAAACTAGCATGTATTGTTTATTGTTTCTATTGTTACCAGCTGGATGCCGGGGCTTTCTGTGTTCACTCAATATTGACAATATTATACATCAAGCAGCTGTTCCTAGCATATAATAATGCTATTTTCTTGTCATACATTCTGTATAATATTTATCAGATTTCATTGTAACAGATGACATACTCCCATAAAACAACCCATATCATTCAATTTCAAATGCATTATTTCACATACATTTAGGTTACATTTAACAAGTAATTGCAATATATATATCAGTTATTCAAATTTTCAAAATATGTATAACAAACATTTGGGGATGTTTTCTTTTCTGGATTTGAACACCAGTTTTAACACAAATATTTTGGCCGTTTGATTTATAGAGGAACAGATTTGACTAAAAATTCAGTGACAGGGAACCATTGAATGTAGCCCAAAACAGCCAAAACAAAAATGGCAAAGACTGAGCTTGTTGACAAATTTATGCTTCCTGTTAACAGTGTCCTCAAAATTAACAAATGTTGAATGTATCAGTAGATACTAGATGTATTATCACGGAACTTTCAATGTGACATTTTCGTGCAATTTCATGACAGCCAGTACATTTCTTCCAAGCAGCAAATGAGAATTCAGTTGATTGGACATTCATGAATATTTTTTGATTGGATGCTTTGATAGAACTTTCTTTATGTCTTTGCCAAAACATGAATTTGATTACAAACAACATAATTTCTTTCTTCTGGTGTCTAATCTGCTCCTGAAACCAATCTAAAAACCATGATTCTTTTTGCATAAACATATATGAGATGTATATCTAGCTTACAGAAAGTGAAGTGTTGTTTTGATATTTAGAAGTCAATTAAAACCAGTCTTGGAATTTGTCCTTTGACAAGTAAATTTGAATTGGTTAGCCAACAGAATAGTGTCTGGTTTCACTGGCTCTATAGTCTAAGCAAGCTATTTGCTTCTTTAGTTTACACTAAAAGAGGATAACTTTGTTTAGTAAGTTCTTTGCCAATTAAGGCTTCTTTCTGAGTCCTTAATACAAACATGTATATATTAAATTACTGAAATTGCTCATGAATGTTTTAAGTTTTACAATTAGTCCAAATCATGTGAAACAATGTGGGATATTATATTTAAATTACTTTAAGTCAGAACAATTTACATGTAACATCTTCATTAAGGATGGATGGTAAATTATGTTCTGGCTCAGTACCTTTAAAGTAAGTTATTAAAATCATATGTAACTGGCATTACTCCAGTCTAATTAACTATAGTGTCTGGGAAAGACCTCAGGCTGTTGTCCAGGACAGTGTGTCCTAGGGGAATACTATTCATCTTCACAATCTATAACATTTATTGCTCAACTGGGATAGTGGTCAGTCTGCCATTATATGAAATATTATGCACAGCTTATATATAAATCAGTTAAAAAGACAGCAATATCTATTATGAATAAAGCAATAAACATATTTAGTCTCTTCAAAACATGTTAGATATTGACCATCTAGTCTATTTTAAGAGTATTTCTATTGGCTAAGGAATCCGTTGGGCACAATTTACCCAGGTCCATTATCCAGCCTCAAAATATATGGGCAATTCTCCCAATAAGGTGTTTTCATCCATATCAGTAAGGTTTTAACAGATAGTGTCTAATCTACCTATCCGTTATCTATATTTAAATAAGTAAAGTCCTGATGATGTACTTTTCCAAGATAAAATTACTGAAATATTTAGTTTGAAACAACACACAATTGTTTTTTCCAACGGAAAATGAAAGCTGAAGTCCTCTTTAAACTCACAAAATATCCTTAGTCACGAGCAACATTAAAATTACATATAGAAAAAAAAATTGACTTGTTTGAAATAATGCATGGAGGGGCAACTGAGATCTTCCCAAAGTAGTATACATCACATGTAGCTAGAAAGAGGCCATGTGACCTCTACTGTGTTGATGTTATGTAAACCCAACAACAAAAAAACAACACCAGAAAACAACAGTTTCTTATCTTTAC